CCCAAACCTGCCCCCACGTCCCCTCCCTGCCCCAGGACACCTCCATGTCCCCTCTCTTCCTTTCCCCCTCTCCCCCCAACCTTCTGCACTTCCCCGCACCCTCACCTCTGACAGATGCCCCTCCAGGGGGGCACCGGGGCTGTCCCCCACCTCACAACCCAAATCCAGCCACGATGCAGTGAGCTTGTCCCTCCTTGGCTGGGTTTTCCCCTTGAGGTCCCAACCCTGTGACATCCCCCATCCTTGGTCCAGGACAGGGTGCACCCCATGACCCCATCCCCACATGGGCTCCTGTCCACCCAGCCCCAGCTCCCACAGCCGGTGGGGTGATGCTGTGCTATCGTGCGGGACCTCAAAGGGGTCTCCTCTCCCCAGCCTTCCCTCCTCTCCATGACAAAAATTTGGTATTTTCCCTATGGACAGCATCCCCCTCCCCTGCCCAGCTCCCTCCCTGCCAGGATGATGCAGACCCCAGAGCTGCTCCCAGTCACTGAGCCATAATAAACTGGTGATGCTAGGAAGAGAAATCCCAGAAGCCAAAGGTAGAAAGCAGTGGCTCAGGTTTGGCAATCGGTACAAACCATCTCGGGGTCCTCTTCATGCCCAGATGTGAGGCAAGGCATCCGCTTTCAACAAGGATCCCCCAAAAAAGTGTGAAAATCCTTCATCCTTCAACCTGAGGAGCCAGGGCTTGGTGTTTACGGCGCAGAAGCACCTTGGGGATGTGTCGAGGGAGGCTGAAGGTCGCCCAGCACCACACAGCCCTTGCCCAGAGCACAGCGAGGTTCTGGGGTGGTGTGTGCTGCCAAAGCCCAAAGTGGGGTCCCCCTGCAAGGTGGGTGTCACAGCAGGGGGCTGACCGAGCACCATACACCCCATCCTGGATATTTTGGAAGCTCTCAGTGTTGATCTGAACTCGTAGCCTCAGACCCAGCTCACTCAGACAACACCCCTCATACCCCGTGAATTAACTTGCTCCAATTAACAGGGCACTGGGTGCTCTGAGGAAGGAGGAACCGTGATGGACGTGGCACCGTGAAGTGTCTGTGGGGCTCGGAGGCCACTGCTGGGGAAGACTCATTGGGGACGTGGGTTCCCGGAACGAGACAGCAAGGAGGCAGCAAGCAAGACACAAAACTCCGAGCATCGTCCCTCTCCTCCCAGGGACCTGCTCCAGCTCCGAACCTGCGCCCTGGGGAACGGGTTCGGTCCAGGAGGGTTTTGCTGAAAGGCAAAGCAGCCGAGATCACGCTCCCAGGCTGGGGAACCTGCAGTCAGGCCAACGCCACGGCAAGCCAAGGAGGTCCTGGCAAAAAAACAAAGCTTGCGAAAGACACAGCGGTACCCGGCGAGCCTTGATCCGAGATCCCCGTTGCATAGAGAAAAGGTACTCCTACATAGATTCAAGTGCGCGGCAGGACGGGCTCCTCCTGCGAGGAGAGTGCCCTGTAACTTCACTAACCAAACTTGACGGTCCAGTCCTCGCCCCCGGCGCCGGAGCAGCTCCTCGTCACAGCATGTCTGCATCCTCCATGCTGAAGCTGCTCCGGCGACTGCTGGCCTTGGAGGCCTCCGGGGACATGGCCGAGAACAAGGGGTCGGAGGCCAGGGGCAGCATGGTGTCCTGCATCAGCATCAAGTCCAGCTCCTTCTTGGATAGGGATGGGAAGGAAGCGCTGTGGCCGGGCTCCAGGCTGTCCGGGAAGCCCCGGGAGCCGTCATCGAAGCTCAGGCTGTGGGTAAAGTCCAGCTGGTGATAGGGAGACTGCGGTGGCGGAGGCAGCGCCGCCGGCGGCTGCGATTCGGGGTCCAGGGGTGGCAGCAGCGGCTCCAGTGTCCCCTCGTCCCCGCTGGCTTCTTGCTTGACCACTTGCTGAGCCAGCTCGGCCACGTTGACGCCCGAGGGCGAGGAGGTGGGCAGCCCGTGGACGCGTGCCTGCATCTCCAGCTCCTGCCAACAGAGCACAGGGAGTCTTTGGTGGGGACACAGTGTACGGGCACCCACGGAGGTGGCAGGGACAGAGAGACCGAGAAGATCAAGAGGAAGGAGCCCATGGAAGAGGAGAAGGATGGAAAACGGTGACCCACACAAAGCTCAACGCCACACGCTGCGGTGACCTGAGCCTGAGGTTTGCCTGAAGACTTTGCTCCTGGTGACTTGAGAGCCGTAAGAGGGAGGAGAGCTCCTGCCCATCCCCTCGGCAGGGCAGGACTGAGCTGTCTCGGGAAGGGAGGGAAGAGCAGAGGGAAGAGCAGAGGGCAGCTCACCTGGATGCGGAGCAGCAGCTGCTTATTCGTCATCTCCAGCCGCCGCGAGTGGTTCTCCAGGTCTCGCGACCTCTGCAGGTCCTTCTGCATCCTCTTGATGTAGTCCACAGACGCCTTCAGGATTGTCCCTTTGTTCCAGCGCACGTCCCTGCCACGCAGGATGGATAAAGAGATTGCGGCGGTCCCCTTACCCCAAAAAGCCTCTCTGCAAGCGTCACCTGCACTGAGGCCCAGCATCAACCAAGCCCACGAGACCCCAGTCATCCCAGCCCTGCAGAAGCCATGGATACGTACAGGTCGTTGGCCTTGGGGATCAGCATCCCCAGTTCTTTGATGCGGTCGTTGATGTTGAACCTTCGCCGTCTCTCAACTGCAGGGTGAGAAGAGAGGGAAGGAGGTGAGGAGGTGGCAGGAGCAGGACAGGTTTGATGTCCCACAGCCCCCACTGGCCCTGATGCTGGTCCCAGCTTGTGGGGCTCCCGTCCATCACCCTGACTGGTCTGACCTCCCCCCAGTGCTAACAACAGGGTCTTTCCTGCACCACGGGCGTTTTCCAGAGCTGGGAAAGAGGAAGCCATGGCAGGGGGATGCAGGGGGATCTCCTGAGGGTGAGGTGGGATGGGAAAGGGCTCAGAGAGAGGGAGAACGAGGATGGAGAGGGATGGGGAAACGGCTGCAGGGGTGGGAAAAGGAAAGCTGTGCCACCCATGGGCAGCCAGCACCGAACTCACTCAGGTTGTGATTGTCCTTCTTCTGGCGCTCTTTTGCCAGGGCTCGGCTCTCAGCATCTGCAATGGAGACCCACAGCGTCAACCGGAGGGGACGAGGCCGCATCTCACCCCATGAGCATCCCAAGCTGGCATGGGAGCACCCCAGTGTTCCCCAGAGCCACCCTCTCCCCACCCATGGAGACAGGACAGCCCCAACCAGCTTTGGTGCTCCCCATCACGGCCGGGGCTGTACCTGTCAGCTCTCTCTTCTGGGTGAGGTCGGCAGGGCAGGAGCTGCTGGTGACACCAACGAGGGAGGCCGTCACCTGGGGGTCCCCGCTATAGACATTCATGTGACTGCTGGACATGGGCAGCTGAAAACCAGAGGGACAGGCGGGTTAGCTCCATCCAGGGCCACGGCACCGGGGTTCAAGCCCGGCTGCTTGGCCTCTGGGATGCGAGTGCGTAGCCCAGGCAGGTGTAATTGCCATCTCGGGCCCTTAAAACAGCTATAATGAGAGTAGCAAAGAAAACAGGACTTCAAAGGGCGCAGCTGATCCCCTCCCACAGCCAACATTTAAAATAGGGCAGATGAATCACATCCGAGAAGGGCTCAGCAGGATGAATCCCACCGGGAGCCACAAGCTGCCATACGGATCTGACCCGACCCGATGCCTCGGGAATGGTCCCGCTCCAAGCGAGCTTCTGGCTGGGAAACCTCTCCCAGCACCAACATCCCCCCGTGCTGCAGCGGATGCTTGGTCCCTCCCCATGCCCCTCTCCCATCTCTCTGACTTTTTATAAGGGCTCCCAACTGTCATTAAAGGGGAAAAGAAGCTGAAGAACTGGCTCTTGTGGTTACAACAGGGACACCTCGCTGACACCCGTCCCAGGGACAGGGCTGGGCTGGGCTGGCAGCCAGGCATGGCTGCGGGGATGTGGCAAAAGGACAGGGCCCCTCTGTGCCACCCTGCAAGCCCAGGGGTGCGAGACCCCCCAGGCCACCCTCCCCCTTGCAGCTCGGGGTCTGACCCCTTCCTAACACACAGCAAAGACTCACCGTGTTGGGCATGTGGACTTCAGGGTTCATATAGCCCAAAACGTCATCCAGGCGCATGATGTCATCGATGACCTCATCAAACTGAAAGGGAAAGGCGTAAAATCACCACCGGGCCGCTTTGTCCCTCGCCTCCCCCCGCAGCCCGGTGGCACCT